GGATGTACACTGATCTTTTCCAATCCTCTGGCCACTGTTGAACCATAGCTATACAGTGCTTGAATTTTTTTTTTTTTTTTAGTTTATGGGAAAACATTTGATTTTAACATGATTATAGTAAACTTAGCTATACAGTGCTTGAATTTTTTTTTAGGTTATGGTAAAACATTTGATTTTAACATGATTATAGTAGCTGGGAAGAAGGAAAGTACAAAACACCATTTACTGGCTGAAATCCAGTAGCATGTTGCAAATAGAGTACACCAGTGGTCCTAATTAGAGATGGGGACTTTGTACTGGATTTGTATATGAATACAAAGCCCCCCTGGCACAGGTAGCTGCCCGGACCATGCTGGATCCATGGTCTGCACGTTACGCATCTCCAGCATCATCACACCAATCGCAGCAGTAGCGAGACTGCTGCAGCTCCACCTCCCTGCTCGCCCAGCCACTCTGTGGCTGAGCAAAGATACTCCTCTTCCTGCCCCCTTGCTGGAGTGGCTGGGGGAGCAGGGAAGCAGGACTGTGGGAGCTGGGCTACTGCCATGACTGATGCGGTGATGATGATGTGGGTGATACATGACACACTGAACGGTATGTGGTCCGATGGGGTTCTGGGGATGGGAGATTATCAGGGTGGCCACCTGTGCCAGAGGGGCTTCATATTCATATACAAATACTAAGTTCCCATCCTTAGTCCAAATCTAGTTGCAGCTTACTACTGGATTTCAGCCATTGTTGTTCAAATATCCATTGCTGTATATGAAACCCAAACACTTCCAATTTTTATTTCTTGATTTCTCAAATAAACTTACTCTAGAACTGATTCTTTAATGGCAGCAGTAAATCAATTAATTAGAAAATACTAGTCACCAGTATTGGCTTTCAGTTTGTTCGAGATAATGCTCCAATCTAATTAATTGTTGTTTACTGCTCAAAAAGTTGCTCAAGGAATTGGAGACTTCACAGTTTTATTCAAAGATAACCACATACAGATGAAAAATACAGGAATGTTTATACAATATTACATTCTACTGAAGGAATTTAATGACAAAACCATGGGATGTTACCAAAGTACATGTAACATTAATTTTTATCTCTCTTTCTAACTGTATCTATAAAGAGAGCTTGAAACATAATTAAGATTAGATTAGTGTGACTGAAAAGCCTACTTAAAAAAAATATCCTAAAGATATATTTAAACCATGCCCTTTAGCCAGAAGGATTGGTTCAACACAGAAATGTGCTAGGCATGCAAAATTTTTATCTACTTGAAAGATCATTTGCCATTTCTCACCAGAAATATTTTGAGAAGAATAAGATGACAGACTGGCTACTAGCTCATAAATTAACAGAAAAATAAGAAAGGAAATTAATTTGTACAGTGTGTGGAACATCAACACAGATTTATGCAAGATAATAAAGAAATACCACTGTCTACATAGATAATTCAATACCCTAATGATGTTTCAAAATATATTAATCAGTGAGATGCCATCATTTAATGGCCACCACAACAGCTGGATTTTCTTATTACAGCAGAGTGATTAATGCCTTGAAATTAAACATCGATAGCCATATTTTACACTTGTTGATACCTTATTATTGAAGTTCCAATTTGTTGATAAATCAAGCATTTATGACAGAATGAAACAAGGGTTGCATTAAAACATACCTATCTAGATTAAACAGATTATCCACGTCTATTTCAATCTGGCTTCAGACCTGGTTAATGGTGGAGACTGCTTCTGTTATTTTGGTGAATAACCTACATCAGGAAATGAACAGTGGGAGTTTGCCCCTGTTGGATCTGATAGGCCTCTCGGCACCTTTCAGTACCATCAACCATAAGATCACTCTGGGCCATGTCTCTGGGATGGGATGCAGAGGCACCGTTTTACAGGGGCTCTGGCCTTCTTGGAGGGGAGGACTCCTATTTGACACCCCGGCCTGTGGGATCCCTCAAGTATTTGTCTCCTATGCTATTTAACAGCTACATGAAACTGCTGAGAGAGGTTTTTCAGAGTGTTTGGGTTTGGTGTCCAGTATTCAGACAACAACTAACTGCATCTCTCCTAAATCCAAGGAAGTTGTTTTGGCTCTGGATCAGTATCTGGTGCCAGTAATAAGACTGGATGAGAATGAATAAACTGAAACATAATCCAGACAAAGAAGTGTTCCTGGTCAGTTGCAAGGCAGAGCCTTAAAATGTCTTAAAAATAATAAAAAAAATTGAAAACAAAACAAAGAAAGGCAGATCAAGAAATAGGGATGCAGCCTGTGCTGGATGGGGCTTCACTCCCTCTGAAAACACTGGTGTGCAACTTGGCTGTGCTCCTGGATTCGTCTCTGAGCCTGGATGCCCAGGCTTTCGTGGTGGCTAGCCGTGCATTTGCACAATTAAAACTAGTGACCCAGCTGCCCCCACTCCTGTAGAGCAGAGGTCGTCAACCCCCCAGTCCACGGCCCGGCGCCGGTCTGTGGCCTGAGCCGGACCGGGCCATGGAGACAGACCTTCCGCCACCCCGCAGGCACTCCCCTCGCCACAGCTACTGTGCGCACGTGTACCAGCTCCGGCGTGCGCTCTCCCCCACCCCTTCACGCATGTGCCCATGCAAAAGAGTGGGTGTGCGCATGTGCAGGTGCTCCTGTGCATGTGCGAAGGGGTGGGGGAGTGCTCACATCGGCAGCTGCCATGTGCACGCTCCCTCCCCCACTGCTTTGTGCATGCGCCCAAGAGCACACGAGTGCCTGAGCGTGCGGGGGTGTGTGCCCCGCCTTCCTCAGAGGCTCAGCCAGTCCGCAGTTCCAAAAAGGCTGGGGACCGCTGCTGTAGAAGTCTGATCCTGGCCGTGGTGACACATGCCTTAGTTACATCCTGGCTGGATTACTGTAATCCAGTACAGTAATTACAGTACATGAGCCTATCTTCAAAAAGTGTTCTGAAACTGCAGTAGGTCTAAAATGCTACAGCCAGATTGTTAACTCTGGCTGGTTACAGGGATCACATAACCCGAACCACCCATTACAGCAATTGTGCCAGTCTGTTTCCAGGCACAATTCAATCTGTTTCTGGGCACAATTATAAAGCCCTAAGCGGCTTGAGTCCAAACTAAAGGATCAGGTCTCCCTTCATGAGCTTTCCCGAGTATGATGATCATTGGGGGAGATCTTTCTTTCTGTCCCACCACCTTCACAGTTGTGTTTCGCTGGGACACAGGAGAGGGACTTCTCTGTCACTGCTCCCCAATTGTGTAACTCCCTCCCTTGGGAGGGCAGGCTGGCTCCCTCCCGGCTGCCCTTCTTATAAGCAGACAAAGATCTTTCTCTTCAGGCAGTTTTTCCCTTAGTCTCTTAAGTGACTGGCTGTCTGAGAGGGGTTTTAAATGGATTATAGTGCCTTGTTCTATTGAATATGTTTTGGTGTTGACATTAATTACTGTTTTTTAGTGTGGTATTTCATCAATCCTTTAAAAATATTTGTATACTTATTGTTTTTAAATATTGTCTTTTATTGCCATCATGGGTCCTTTTTAAGGAGAAAGGTGGATCAATCAAACAAACAAGATGTATTCGCGAAGATGCCGGCCACAGAGACTGGCAAAACGTTAGGAAGAACAACCTTCAGAACACAGCCAAAGAGCCCGAAAAACCCACAACAAACAAACAAGATGCTGCTCCATTTTTGTCCTCCCTCCATATTCCTATTGCTGTTTCTATGACAAAAGAGGGAGGGGGGAAGACCGATTAGGTCCACCCCCACCTCTGCTCCTTGCTCTGAAAGGACTTAATCCGAGCTAGGCTACAGGACATTCTCAAACCCCTTTCCTCATCGCCTGTGTTAGAGTCTTATGTGTTGTGTCTTAAATGTTAGATTCTAAGCCTCTATTGTATCTCCAGTATTGCAAACTACCCCAAGAGGCATTTTGGCTAAAGAACAGGATTTAAATGCTCCAAATAAAGAAGAAAAAAAATCCATCATGAGCCTCATCTTCCTGTTCAATATAACTTTTAATATTAACTTTTTTTCCACATGTATTTATGCAAAAAAGAGGTTATAATAATGTATCTATCCAGATCAGATAAGCTTTATAGTGGGGAGATTGTTCTCAGTACAAAAAGAACAGAGGACCTTTTGAAGCAAAAATTTTTTAACCATTTTGGCTGCTGAAAAGGCTTTAAGTTGGGTGGAAGACAATTTGTTTTGGATGTTAAAAAATTCCAGTATTAAAGCTCTCTCTGTTAAATTATATTTAAGTCATATATTTGGGTGGCAGCTTGTAGCCCATCAAATGCTTCTGCTTCCATCATTCCTTCACTCCTTGGCTATACTGACTAGGGGTGATGAGAACTGCAGTTCAGTGACAACTTGTGCTTATATGATAAACCCCATGCAATATTAGCAATTAGCAAATGCGGGTTCATGTTCAAGTTTAGGAGTCTTGTGGTGCAGTGGTTAAAACTGCATTACTGCAGTGAAGATTCTGCTCACAACGTGAGTTTGATCCTGGGCTCAGGTAGTTGGCTTGAGGTTGATTCAGTTTTCCATACTCCCAAGGTTGGTAAATTGAGTTCCCAGCTTACGGGGGGGGGGGGCAATGTATAATTAAGCTGTAAAAAACTGCCCAGAGAGCTTAAAGCACTATGGGGAAGTATATAAGCAGCATGGCCTTCCCTGTTTTTTCTGGACATTATTATGGTATTTCTATCAAACCCCTTCATACCTATTCTAGCATTTACAGATGAACTGTAAATGTTGAAAGTTTTATCAGGATATAAAGCACAGGATATAAAGCCACTGCCAGAGAGCCCCGGAAGGAAAAGACACGAAATCGGGCCTTCTCGGCAGTGGCTCCTCGTCTTTGGAACAAACTTCCTCTGGAGATTCGCGTGGCCCCTACGCTGGGTATCTTTAAAAGCCAAGTAAAAACATGGATGTTTATTCAGGCCTTCCCTCCAGTCAATACTTGATTCTCTCTTCTCATTTCTTTTTAATTTATTTTACTTTATTTTCTTGGTTTCCACATTTTCATTTGTAGATTTATGTAACTATGTGTTTTTATTAATTGTTTGTATTATATTGGAAGCCGCTAAGAGTGGTTGCATAGACCAGATGGGCGGGATACAAATCAAATTAAATCAAATCAAATAATAAATAAATATGATGGGACAGTTGGGATTTAATATTTTACTAGAAACCAGGGATATACATGCCAATTATGGAAAGAGGCAGATAAGCTAGTGAAAATGTATGTTTGTTTTTGAAAATATTAGGATATTGGTGTCCTTAGTAATATGAAATAAATTGCACGCCATATTGTTAGGTTTTATATGAAAAAGGAAGGGAAAAGGGGAGGAAAAACATGCAAGAACGAAGGGCATAATCTGAAACAATACAGTTAACCGTGAAAGAAAGACTCAGGACTCCACTTAGTAAATGGAGAGAGAAAGCAACCTGTTGTCTAAGGAAGGCAGGCACTGATGTTTGGGTCGGAAAACAGGTCTCTTGCTCCTTCAAAGAAAAAAGAGCAGAACAGGATCCCTGCTTTTACAAAAGCTTCCCCTTGCTAGAGAGCACAGCAAGAAGGGAGGCATGATTCTTTGCTGGCCTATTGCTGAGCGGGCCCTCCCCAGGGAGAGGAATATAATGCACACAGTTCTTTGGAAGAAAGGCTACAATGTTATTGGTTTACAGCAGCAGCCCCTTTCCAGCATTGGGGGATTGGATCTGGTGCATTGAGAGGCCCGATTGCCACCTGATGCCCACCACCGTTCACTTCAACAGCTGCTGAAGGTTCTACCAGAAGTAGCCATCTTCTGGAAACCATGCAGGCATATGCTGGATCCCACTCCCAGCTCAAAGGCCCAGAAAGATATTATGCATGCTGTCTTAAACAAGGACATGTTATCTTCAGACCAACTCATATGTAATGGGCGAGGTGATGGGCTTTCTCCTGTCTGAGACCCACAGGGTGGTTCTCTCCCAGCTGTCTCTGGTTAGCCTAATGCGGAATGACCTAGGCGCAGGGGTTTTAAACTCAATTTACCTGGGGGCCGCTAGAGGCAGAGTCTGGGTGAGGCTGGGCCGCATCAGATTTTCCGCCAAGCGGAGCAAGAGCCCGAGGAAGCCGCCCAGGAGGTTCCTTAGCTGACAGACAGGTGGGCTGGCTAGCAGGCTGCAGTTCTGGATGGAGGGTGCAAGAGGTGCTGTCTTGGGAGAGAGCCGGCGAGCGAGGCAAGGCTTTTTTTTAAACTTTTGACAGCAGAGGATGTGTGGGTGCTTTGGGGGGGCAGGCAAGGCGAGGGCCACAAACTATCATCTGGGGGGCCGCAAATGGCCCCCGGGCCGCATGTCTGAGACCCCTAGGGGATCAGAGAAACCTGTGCCTTCCTATAAAAGGCAATTGCTGCTAGATGGGTGTGCAATGTTTAGGCACCAGATCCTGGGCCTGGAAGTACATTATATAAATTGCCTAATTTAAATCGAATTTGAATCTTGTTTAAGTTGCTCAATTTAAATTTTAAGATATGGTGATGGCACAGTTTCCACATGTTTTAGAAGAACAGTGAACAGATGATTGAAGGCTGTTCACTGTTCCGGTTCTGTGACCATCTGCCAGTCTCGAGGTAGCCAGTCAGCCGGTCCTCCACTCTAAAACTGGTGGTTGAATGTCAGGTCGGTGGCCAATAAATCCCAGATTATTTACGATCTTATTCAGACCTGGCGTGCATAACCGAAACTTGGATGGGCGGGGAAGGGGGTGTTCCCCTGACCCTTGCCTGTCCTCCTGGTTATGCAGTCCAGCACCAGGGTAGACTGAAGGGGCAGGGAGGGAGTAGGTATTGTTTATAGAAATACTCTGGAGGTTATTAGATGCTCCTTGGTGGTGAAGCCAGGTCTGGAGGCTCCCCCCTCTGGAACTCACAGACTTCCTTGTTGCCAGGGGAATGCTAGGTGCTGCCATACCAAAAACTTTCCTCCTCGACATCTGAGGAGTCCCTGAATGTTTGGGAAGGTATGGGGGGGGGAGTGCAGGGTGAATGGGGCTCCCTAGCGCTCTTGCCCAGAGAGTGGGGACGTGCCGCCCCGCGGCCTCCCCAGCGCACACCTGGGCGCGCAGCACTGGACAAGAGGGGCAGCGCCGCTTCCAGCCAGCCACCCCTCTCGCTGCTGCAGCTGCCACCCGCTCCCACCTCCCGGACCCCCTCGGTAAAGCCAGAAGCCCGCCTGTTCCTTCTATCAGCTGTACAGCGGGGCTTTTGATGGGCTTTTGCTCCTCTCCCCTCGACTCTGTGTGTGTGTGTGGGGGGGGGCGATGCCCGCTCTCCCTCATGTGCCTGCTGACCTGCTGACCTCCCGGCTGGCTGCTGTATGTAGCTCTGCCAGGATGCCCGCTCCCTCCTGCTTCTGGGCAATGCAACCGGTCCTCCCTTCCCAGGTCAAGTGGCCCAGCCTGCAGCCAGCACAGCACAGCCGCCCTGGAGGCATTCCCAGTTCAAAAGGCACTCCCTGCTCTCCTTCGTCCCGAAAGAAGAAAGGAGATGGGCGCTGGTGACAAAACAGGTCTCTCGCTCCTTCAAAGAAAAAAAAAAGAGAGCAGAAAAGGATCCCCGCTTTTACAAAGGGATTCCCCTTGCGGGAAAGCAGAGCAAGGAGGGAGGCGCGGTTCTACCCACACAAAAAAAACGCTATGCAAAGACCCCAAGGCAAGGGTTGGTCCCGCTATTCTTCCCAGTCGCGTTCCTTTCCCCTCAGCCATTCGCCGGGAGGCTTATGCCCCGCCCCTTCGTTCGTTCCACTCGAGCATCCCATTGGCTCGGCCTCGCTCACGTGGCCTCGCCGCCTGAAAACTTTGCGTCGGTTGTCCTGCGGAGGCAAGGCCCGGCCTGGAGAGGCGGGGCGAGGGAGGCGGGGAGCCAATCGGCGAAGCGCCCGGGGCTCCGAACGGCCTCCCCTTCGCCGGCCTCGCCTTCGCCGTTCCCTGCCTGCTCCTTCTGCCTCCTCAACTGGCTCGCAGACCCGGAACGGGAGGCGCTGCCGTCGGCGAGATGGCGTTGAGCTCGGCCTGGAAGCAGATGTCGTGGCTTTATTACCAGTACCTGCTCGTGACCGCGCTGTATATGCTGGAGCCCTGGGAGCGGACGGTCTTCAGTATCTTTTGGCTGGCTGACCCTGAGGGGCCCGAGAGGGGGGGGGGAGAAAGACGGGGGGCCGCGGCTCCAGCTCTCCCGCCTCGTACGAAGTTCCGCTTAAACTGGGCGTGGTGCGCCGCGGGACTAGGTCGGGCCGGGCCGGGCTCGGCGGGATGCCGTGGGAGGGAGAGCTGAGGCCGGGGAGAAAGGGCGCGACAGCCGAGGCTGCCTGCCTGTCTTTGGGCGAGGACAAGAAGGTGCTTGGGGGAAGAAGAGCCTGTGAACCTGGGGTGGGCGTGATAGGTGGCAGGTTCATGTTCGGCAGAAACTCTTTCTTGACCTTGTTGTTCCTCGAGGGAGGGTTTTGTCTAAGCTTAATGGCTAGGCATAATGTAGTTATTTTGAAAAAAAAAGTTACTGGGTTTCTCTGTGCGGTATGTCTTCCCCTTGCCTTCCACGTTTTCCCTCTCATTCTTTTTTTGGGGGGGGGGCACCTGGCTGCTGTCCTGCTGGCAGCTGCTGCTTCGAGGGCTAACCAGGTGTGCACCTCTTCAGGAGAGCTGGAGGAAAGTTTTCCCTCTCATCCTTTTTTTTGGGGGGGGGGCACCTGGCTGCTGGCTAAAGTGACTGGGAGGGCCTGGAGTCCAAGGCCGTGAAGTCCAAGGCCCAATTGCTGGGTTTGACAGTGGAATGGAAGTTGTGGGTTAGGAACTCAGATCAACACAAGGGAGGGAACCTCCTCCTTTGCTTGGTCACCTAAGATGGATTCTTTGCTGAGATGGAAAGCTTTCGCTGTGTGGTTTGTGATCCAGGTTTATTTAGGATAGACATCTTTAGTATGTGCTTCACTTTGTGTCTGTTCAGATGTTGAGGTGGTTATGGAAATTAAATACTGTACATAAATTCTCAGAAATCTTTCATTAGGGTCTTCATGTTATATAGTTTGCATATTATAGACATATTATTTATCCTTACAAAGGAACATATTCCACATTTCTTCCCCCCCCCCCATTTTACGGGTTGGGGTGGCTTTGAGGAAAAATTGTTCCCTCCTCATTTTCCCTTTTTCCCCCAGGCCTTCCTATCTCTAGTCATGCCAGAGTTCTGTTATGTGGTGCCGAATCTTCCACTTATGTAGACCCTACAAATGAATGATCTCCAAAATGTAATGTCTTCAACAGCCCTGCTTAGCTCTTGCAAACTTAAGCCTGTGGATTCCTTTAGGGAGTCAGTGCATCTCATATTTGGTCTTTTTCTTTTCCTGCTGCTCCCAAGCTTTCCCAGCACTATTTTCTTTTCCAGCAAGTCTTGCTAAGGCATATGTGTGGCCAAATTACACAGTCACCGTTTTGTCATTTTTACCTCTGGACAAAGTTCAGGCTTGACTTGATCCAGGGCCTACTTTTTTGGCTTTGTGGCAGTTCAGAGTATTTGCAAAGCTCTGCTCCAGCGATACCCTGTTTCCCCAAAAATAAGACCTAACCTGTAAACCTAGTATGTTTTTTTTTAGAATGCTCATAATATAAGCCCTACCCCCCAAAATAAGCCCCAGTTAAGTGGAACCCCACCCTCCACCTTTGTGCAGCATTGTGCAGCAACCAGAAGAAGATGTCATGAATGTATTTGAATAAATAGATTGTTCTACAGGAAAAGAAATAAAACAACCCCTAAAAATAAGCCCTAATGCTTTTTTGGGGGGCAAAAATCAATATAAGACCCTGTCTTATTTTTGGGCCAACACGGTACATTTCAGACAAATCAGTTTTCTTTCTCTCAACTTTCTTTACTGCCCAGCTTTCACACCCATATATTGTAATTGGGAATATGTCATTTGAATGGTCTTGATCCCCAATGACTCATCCTTACAGTTGAAATGTAGCCTGCATAATTAAATTGTAAACCTACTGAAGAGTACTTTATGCACTATAGGCAGGAGGCTTTGCTTTTTGCTTTGATGACTTTTCCAATTCCTTCATTACTGTCCTTTCCAAGTCTTTTTCCAATGTCTTGGCTGTTGTCCCTCTTTGAATTAATTGAACCAATATATACTAAATCTTTTAACAATTTGTTTCTTCTTATCTAAATTAAAGTTCTGCAGTTCTTTTGTAGTCATGAGATTGGTCGTCTTAATGTTCCGCTGCAGTCATGCTTTGGCACTTCTCTCACTTTCATCAGAAGTTATTTCAAGACATTTTTGCCTTCTGCCAGTAAGATGGTCTTATCTGCATATTTTAAATAATCAATGTTTCTTACACCAATTTCCACTCTGACTCCTTCTGAATCTAGTTCAGGTTTCTGTATGATGTGTTCAGATTGAACAGATAAAGAGATAAAATGCACGTTTGCCTGTAGGAAACCATTCTGTTTCTCTCTAGTTTGGCCTAACAGTAACTTCTTGTAGACAGTACAGATTAGGCATTGGGACAATCAAGTCCTGAAGCTCACTCCCCCCCCCCGAACAATGCATAGTTTCTCATGATCATTCTATACAGTCAAAGGCTTTGCAGCGGTTTGTAAAGCATAGGCTGACCTTCTTCTGAAACTCTTTGAAGCATTTCCCCAGTGAGCTCAGATCAGCATACAATGTTCTCCTGGTTCTTGCTTGCTCAATGAAACTTTCGTGAGGTACATTGATCTGAGAAACTGACTGGCCCAAAGTCACCCAGTAAACTTCATGGACAGGTGGAGATTTGAAGCCAGGCTTCCTGTACTTTAATTCAGTACTCTAATCACTGCACTACACTGGCTCCACTCTTGCATGTCCCCATGTGCCCCATAGCATTTAATGGCTGGGTTTTTTTCCCTTAGACTACTTTGCAAATCTGCAGATAGGTTTACTTCATCCTTTTTTAGGGGAAGAAATTCAGTTGTCTTTTGTTTTGAAATCAACTGTTTTCCCTTAATTTTGAATGAGGTTGTTTAGTTCATTTGCCAAAGAAGTTATATTTGCTTTGTGTAGAGAAGGACATAGGCTATATTATTGGGTTATATTATCTGCCATTCCAATTCTTTTTAATCTGCTTGTCATGTCCTGTAGCTTAGGGCTCATATGAAATTTGAAATAATAATTCCATATTGTACAGTCTTGTATAGTTCCCCTGCCTATCTTGAATGTTCCAGAATTCTTTCCATTAAGTGGCAATATTGTTTTAAGGTCTAGAGTAAAATGTAATGTATTAATTAATTTGTGAAGTTCATACTGAAACACAACCCTTTTTGTACATTCAATTAAATATGGCCACTACAGCCTAACATGAATTTTTCAGATTTAGAAAATAGCTGTGTGATCCATTCAAAGAAGCAATATATTGGGTTAGGCAGTACATTATTTTATCACTAAAAGGCAGGTTTTCAGGTTTTTCAGATCTTTTCAACAGGCAAAGCTGGTACTTTACTTGGGGCAGTAGTAATTTCCCCGACCTCACCCCTGTCCACATTTGGTATGGTAATAGTTGCTTCAGCTTTCATAGTCAGAAGTATTCCTATCTGGTATAGAGAGAGAAATAAGGCCAATATGTTCAGCTCCTTTTCAAGCATTTGGCAAATTTCTTTTTTTATTTTTCCCTCATGTGTTTTTTAGTTCTTGTATTATTATGCCCTTGTTTTTCCTTACTGAAATTGGTAGTAATGTTGTATGCTTTCCTGTAGTAATGCTGTGTTTTACTGTTTTTAAAAAGAGGTTTGAGTATTAATTGTCAGCCTTCATTGTTTAAGCAGACTGTTGTTGCTCCTGCTATAGCTTCTGGCACAGTAAACAGATTTAAAGTACATAGTACTCAAAGTGAATGGAAATTAATTAAATGTGTCTTATAATACATTAAATCTAAACTTAAATTTATCTCCAAGATTAATAAATTAACATTTGAGAGTCCAAGAAAGAAAAAAAGGAGGGGAGCCCAGGGCATGCCCATGCATGGTGCCAAGTGCAGGCAGACACAGTACAGTGCCATGTCGTGATGCCACTTTCAAGGTGGCATACTCTTTAAGCCTTCTGCCAGAAGTTTCTTCTTTCAATCCATCTCTAAACTCCATTCCCTCAACTCCACTTCAGAGTAAGGGTTTCAATTCTTAAGGCAGTTCACTGATATCAATATTTTGTTTGAACTTACCATTTCTATGTTTAAGTTGTCCATTAAATCAGATTTAAGTTATAACACTGCTAATTTCTCTTACTGTGCATTGAGTGCTTTCATATTAGTTAAACACAACAAGGCTTACTAGGACATTTGCAGCTGTAAGACTGTTGCCATTGCCTCTACTGCAACATTTTTAAATGCACATTGCCACTGTTGAATGAGTTTTGATGCAGATTGAATACGACACACTTGTAGTTGTCTTGCTTCGCAATTCATCAAATAGGTAAATAGCTATTAAAGTAATTATGTGCTTATGCAGTATCATAAACTGCTGCCTAGTGTGATGTGTTGGGATGACATAATCTCATATATGCACTAGACTTCTGTTAATATACAAAAACTTGCCAGACAAAAGGGAGAAGGTAGTTTTTACAGCCCTAAGTATCATTTTTCTGGGTAATCCTATTCATGTCACCAGGAAACATTCCTTCTTGCTTCTGCAGCTGACAAATTATGAGGATAATTTAAATAGTCAAACATGAATTTGTTTGTATTTGTGTTTTGACAAAAAGCAAGAGAGAGTGAGAGAGAGAAATCAAGCTTGCTGCGTGTCTTTGTGGGTACCTAGCTCTGTTTGCTTTGTGTGGCTCTTTATACGTTTTGACAGATCATTATCAGAGGAGAGGATTTTAGCCTTCCTGACAAACTGATTAACAAACTAGACTCCAATCACAATTTAGCTTAATCTAGGCCTAGTTTGGGGGTTTGGTTAACTAAAGCCCTTTAGCTGTACTCTGCATCAGTTTGATTGCATCCAGTCAGAGAGCTGATGTGTTTAGAGTCTCAACAACCTGTGCAAATAGGGAAGTGACTATCAGGAAATGTATGCTTTTATTCTTCTATATGAGCTGTTCCATCTGTTTCCTTGACAGCGTCAAGCTGACTGAGGATTTGTAGACTTAATTATCTAGTTGGAAGTTAAATCCATTAGGGGTCTGAATTAAATCCAGTTAGTTCACTGGTCACTGGATTGTACTGGCTTAACTCGTACAATAATAGGACTAAGTGCCATCATGGAATAGTGTTATTAACTAGACTAGGTGTCCTAGGGTTATGTGCCCTGCCCCTTGTGCCTTCTTGGGCATGCTTCATGGTCCCTGAGCACCACCAGAAGGAAGGACAGTAAGACAACTTCAGAATACTTACAGCTAAGAAACACTGGGAGAGTTTGTATGAGTCAGAATTGACCTTACAACACATTTTTAAAAGACTGTATAGTTATGCTGACTTTCTACAGGCTAATAATTTGACTTAGTTCACTTCTGTAGCAACTCATCTGGGAGTAAGACACATTTAATTTAAGTGAGATTTCCATGACATGTTTTGGATTATGCTTTCAGACATTTTTATGACGCGAGATCTGCTTTTACTCAATTGTGGCTTCATTACACTGTCAATATGTGATTTTCCTTTACTGTAATTTAGATTCCATGTTGGTGTCTATTCTTGGAATGGCACTTTACACTGGGTATGTTTTCATGCCTCAGCATATTATGGCCATATTGCATTATTTTGAAATTGTGCAGTGATGAAAATGTCACAAGCAGTGATCTGTCAGAAGCTGAGGACCAGACTGCTAAGAAGTGGCCATTTACAATTAAGGATTTCTTCAGATGACAAAAGAAGACATGATGGTGATGACTGCCAGTTGTCCATACAGAGATGCAACATGCCCTGAGTTTTGGTGGAATTTTCTTTCTTTGATATTCCCTTGAATAGTAATTTTTGTCTATTAACATTGTGATTGTTTGTAGCTTTGATATCAGTATTTTCTTAACTTTGTGACAGTCTCAGTATTACACTGTGAAAGCTTTTCTTAATGTAAATGAATATATTTTGCCTTCTATTTTTAATCAAAAATCATCTTATTAAATGAGGCTTAAAGCTTTTGCTATTGTATAGTTATGTCCACCTGAGTGTATTTGTAGTAACACATTTTGTAAAAAAAAGTGTTTAGATTCATATGGAGATGTGGATATATCCATGGAATCTTTCTTAAAAAACATTATTTGTAAGACCTAACTCAGGTGCTTCAATTGCTTTCTGGACTGTTCAACAGAATATTTGGTATATCACTCTGGCTTCAGCAATAAAATGGAATGTGTTTTCTGTTTCATTTGAGGAAGAATGTGACAACAGTACTGTATGTCGGGAACAATACTGTGTAAGGGAAAAGTATTGCATCAAACTTGTCTGTACATAAATATTCTTTGATTTATGCATGCCATCTGGAATTTTGTGATAGCATATAAATGCTGCTATTATAATGTTTCTAATTGAACTGTGCTTGTATATGTTTATTTTGCCAAAAGCATATTTTAATATAGACTGAGTTGAAAGATCCTGGCTATGGCTGTTGTCTATAGCGTAATCATGTCTGTATTATGAACCCATGTTACAACTGTTGTTCAGAATCCTTTTGCTACTTACACTAAATGATCAAAGGATAAGGTTTGAAGTGGGCTAGATTTAAAAATTACAGCAATAAGACAGTTTCTCCTAGGCTTGCTTTAGGGTTTTATAGCAAATTTTAGATTTGTATTGTGAAGTGTAAGATGTCATTTTTTTAGCTGAGGGTTTCTTTAAAAAAAATAAAAGCTGAAATTAGAGTTGATGCCTAATGTGTCACCTTAATTTTAAGAGATTATATTGAATAATAGTAGTTTAAACAGTGCTATAGAAAGCACAAAATATTCATCGTTTGTATAATTTTGTGAATTAGACAAGTAGTACTAAGAAAACAAAGGTGTAAGTTGAGAAACACCTAGTCACTTCATCTGTAATCCTTCAGTCAGTTCCTATAAGCAAGCCATGATTTCTGTTACATACACCAATTTCTGATAGCAATACTTGCAGGGTTACTTAAAAGAATTTTTAAACATGTAAACTGTTTACAGCAAACACTATAACCTAATTTCTTATTTAGGGAATTTAAATACTAAGCATTAATATAAACAGGTTGTAAAGACTATGCTATGCAAATACCATAAGCCCAGTTCAGTTTATATTGCTGATTATGTTCTGAAAGTTATTTGAAAAAGATGGTTAAGTTCTGTCACTTTTTGTGGAATTTCATTAAGCTAATTTTAGATAGATTAGGGCTGCAATTATTAAAACAGGTGACTTAATTTATAGCTAAAAGGAACCTGAAATTAGGTGGAAAACTGAACTCAAGTCAGATGTGATGGCATGTTTATATGACTACTCCAGTACTTCTGCCATTTGTCTTATTTCTGGGATCCACTAAGATTTTACAGCTTGACTTCTGTCTAATAATTCTTTGCTTATCCAGCTATAGCCTTTTCATTCAGATGGGAGCATGCTGTGTTTCAACACAAGTATGTGGAGAAGCAGCTCTTATGTAGCAGTAATGTGTCTGTCCCATATTTGTGATTTCTTAGAGCTCAGTCCTGTGTAGCCAAGATCGCTGAGGGACGGCCAAATTAACATTGGCGAGTAAGTTCAAATGTCTCCCATCCTGTGAATATTGGAAATCAGCTAGGACTACCCTTGGCTTGGTTTGATTTTATGGTAGTAATGTTGCTGTGTTATTAGGCTAATTTGTGTTTGGATCTGGAGTAACTTAGTTCCTCCCCACTCTGTTTTTTTTAAAAATATTTTGCTGTTTGATCTTTGGTGGTAGAACAGTTCTTACAGAAGATTCCTGAGATCTGTTGGAAAGGGGGTTCTGCTGGTACAAGGAAATTTGTGCTGGCAGAACAGATTTGTGCCTGTCCATAACCCCTGTACACTTGCTGCACGTAGTTTTGCCCCACTGCGCCTGATGGGTTCTACCCAGTTCTGACTAATTTTTAGCGTGTAGCGTCTGAAAAGGAGAAAATTCCTGTTTGCATGTACATATATATGAGCAAGGCAAGGAGAACTTTGTTCTTCTATGTGGCCTTTGGGAATCCATACAATTGTGTATAAACTGCGCTTGCGCTGGATACTCAGAATATTCTAGAGCTTAAATGAGAAGAAATGTAGTAGTACGTTGCACCTATTGCGCATGCTCCACCGGCCTTCAGCCTTAGTTCCTTTTCCAAGGCAAGGAGAACTTAGATTTTGAGCATTATTACTCATTTGTTCAGCTGCAAGCACAAGTTTTTCTCATTAGATTCAGCGAGTGCAACTTGTTTTGTAGCACTCAACTTTGAAGCATAAACATCCCCTCCTCCCATCAGTATTACTTATCTCTATTCTTCACACACAAAAGGGCCAGGATTCCAGGCACCTGAGCTTGCTTTAATTTAGTTTAGAAGTGACGTTTCTTTTTCTAGGTCATTCATTGCCTAAGACTACACAAGCTGGCTCTTCTTCCAGGAGGCACAGTGGGTGGAGAATCAAATCATACCTACCAAAAGAAGCCCAGTTATACCAATTTGGCCATCACAGTCAACCCTTGATTTACAAACTTAATCCATTCTGGAAGGAAGTTCATAAGTCAAGTTTGTAAGTCAAATCAGCATTTCCCGTAGGAATGCCTTGAAAACCAATCTGTTCTGGCTGTTTTTGGTTCTTAGGTCGAGGGGCGGTAAACCCCCCCCCCTGCACAGCATGGCACAGAACCCAGCAACCATTCCTCCTGAACAAAAAAAAAAAATTATT